GCCTGGAAGTTTCCCTGTAGGGAAACAGGCTGGAGGTCCGGGACGGGCCCTGCAGGGCCCGTGTGGCTGCACAGTATGCCACAGTCACACAGCACACAAAGTGAGTATTCCCCTCCTCCAGCACCCAATGCTTCCCCCCCCCTAGCACGTGTCACCCTAGTATATCGCCACCAAGTCTTCTCTTCAAGAAGCATATCTTCCAGCAGCAACCACCCATGCCACACTTCTTCTTCATGGAGGACTTCTACTCCAGCATCACCACCTGACTAAACTGATGAAGTCCTCTTGCAACTATCTGCCTAGGCACCCAACCTCCAGCAACGAACCCCAGCTATGGAGGTTGGCAGCTGCCACCTCAGTTTTCAAATGCAAACCGCTGCTTCAGCACCATAAGTGTCAACTAATCAGTCAAGGTAAGCTTCCCTCACTCTCTCGCTCTCTCCCCCTCCTCAAAGACTCTGATCAATCTCTTCCTCAGCCTACCTCTATCCTACAGACATGGCGCTTAGGCACCCTTCTTAGCTATGTGTTGCGTGCCCTTAAACATCAGATGGGCATGGTGCAGATCCAAGCCAGACGGGTAGGTAGGTATTCAAAAAGGCTGTCCTTCGGGACATCCGTTAAAATTGGAATGATACAGAGAAGATTAGCATGGCCCCTGTGCAAGGATGACACACATAAATCGAGAAATGGTCCAAATTGAAAAAAGAAAAAAAAAGGTATTCAAAAAGGCTTGCAGAATGCTACACACGGAGAGAAGTTGTCAGTTCACTTATTTACCGGGCTGATCCAGTCTACTTGCAGTCTTCCATCTTACCTTGCCTTGCCTTGCCTTGGCTTGCACTTTCCGTGCCGTAATAGAAGACCTATCAAGGGCCTTCAAAAGGCATCCCTACTGGCCTGTTCTCTCACTCCCTCCCTCTCCTCCACAGACCAGCAGTACCCCACGTCTTTCTGCCTCCACTGGTACCTGAGTTACGATGAGGGCCCAGAGATGACGTGTTTTTTTTTGTCCTTACTTAGCATGAGCTTGGGAATCTCCATGCCCAGGTCCATGCACCAGTGTGGCCTGGCCATTCATTGGGCAGTGAAAACCCACTTCCTCTGCCCAAGGGTTCTCCCAAGTGGAACATTGTCGTCGTCCAGTTTAATATCTGGTCGGAAAGTGTGGACTGGTAGATCATGGATAGGCATCATCTACTACACTGGCCAGTTTCAGTACTTCCCTTGAGGGCACAGATAATGCATTTGCCAACCCTTTCTTTTTTTTCAGGCCCTGAAGTTGGTCCTTGGCTCAAATCTCCGCATGTTAGCGTACTCTTTCACCCTTTTGTTCTTTTTGGGCACCCCCCCCTGATGTGCTGGAACTTAGAACTACCTTGTCTATTACCATGAACTGGCTCCACCCTGCTCAATAAATGCATGATTTGAGCCATCAAATAAAAATAAAGCAACCCCCCTTCCTGGCTTGGGCCTCCTGGCTGGTTGTGGAAGTTGGTTAGGCTTTCCAGCTCATGCCAGGTGTTAAGAGCCAGGGTACTGCTCCCCGCATAGAGCAGAATAGGCTGGGAAGGCTGGAAAAACTCAACCCATAACCTTAAGCATCCCTTGGAAAAACTGGACATATATGTAGGTAGGTAGGTAGAGTGAGGTATACGAGTGAAGAATATAGATTAGTTTTAAATTTTAATTTAAAAAAACAAAGCAACCCCCCTTCCTCTCATTACTTCCCAGACATTAGACCTGCAACAGAAAGAGAAGTTTCCCCCTGCCCTTAGGGCCTACACCTTCAAAAAGATGTTCTACAGTCCTATTATAGTAAATAAATTTCTGCCTCATGGGTCCATGTTGCACCATTGTGAATTCTGTCATTCTCATGGAAATCTGACCATGTGTTCCCCAAATTGTCATCTGCGTGAAGCTCGTCTGCACATATGTCCCCTGATTCAGTCATCTGCAAGAAGCCCTTGCAGCCCCCCTTGCGAAAAAAAAGTTAGTGTGTTATATAAGTTATGATTCTTATGAAAGTCTTTTTTTCACTTTCTTTGTTTTGTTCTTATTGTTGTTGTTATCACATCCAGTTGTAACAATGAAACAGGCCAAAGAGCAAAAGACCTTGCCAGTTGGTAGAAAGCCATTCCTCCAGAGAAGTCTCATATTTGCCTGCCTCTTCATACTCCGCCTCGAACGTTTTTTCAACTCCATTGGTCCAGTTCTTGATCATCTGAGAGCAAAACCAAACGCAACACCACACCCACCGTCGCCAGGATGCAATCTTAGATTTGCATGATGCAAGCAATAGACCATCTGACCAGCCACTAACTTCGTAGGTGATGAGTCTGAGGACTGACAATGATAAGCAGAAGTTGCTGCGGAAGACCATGTCATTCTCTGCAGGTGTGCAGGGCCTACCAGTCTCGTTGTCGCTAGTTGGCACTCAGATCCTCTAACCATTTCCCCCCCTGCAATCCTTGCGCATGGACCATGCAAAATCTTCAGCAGATTTCTCACTGTACAACTGTTCCAATCTCAACAGATTCTGTTAAACAACCAGTCAGTTTCCCAGCTATTATGTTCCAACTTCCAAGACGGTGGTTAACCCACCGCAAAATGCCGGTCGGGCCTATGGGATGGAAAAGGCTGCGTCACCAGGCAAATCACCCGCTGTGCCTGTTCGGCAGGAATTGGCAAGCAGCAAAAATCTGCATCGGGAAAAAGGGCCCCCGGCAGACTACTGGTTTAAGGACAGCAACCAGACAATTTCCCATCTTTTCACTTGGCAAGTTGGCAGAATAGGTTAAACTGCAGTGATCCACACTTTCACACGTTTTTCACACTCACGAATCACCAAGTCCACACACACACATAAAACTTCACACGTGAGTCGCCTTTCACACAAGTTGGACACCCTTCAAGATTGTTTGTAACTCGAATGCTGTTTTGGAATCTTTATTATCTAGTCGAGCAAAAACTCATACAGTGATTAGGCCGTTGAGGTCTTTAATACATCAAGTTGTTAAAAACAAAACAAAACAAAACAAAAAAGAGTTGTATACAAGTGTCGAGGTGGCTATTGGCAGCCAACCAGCAACAAGTACGTACCTCTCTCCCTCAACCTAACCTACTCACACACACGCACAGGCCTCTCTCTCTCTCTCTCTCTCTCTCTCTCTCTCTCTCTCTCTCTCTCTCTCTCTCTCTCTCTCTCTCTCGTGCGCGTGTGTGCGCGCGCGCGGGCACACACACACACACACACACACACACACACGCATACAGGTGATGGGGCAATGGGGAGGAGAATGAACGGGAGAACGAATTTGCAAGGATGGAGGACGCTTCGAACGGATGCAAACTCCCCCCCTTTTTTTCCCCCCCTTTTTTTCGCTGTTTTCTTTCTTTCTTTCTTTTCTTGTTTCTTCCCTCGCTCCCCCCTTTTTTTTCTGACTTTTTTCTGACTTTTTTTCGGACCTTGTTCCTTGGCGGATTCCTTTTCTGTCCCTTCCCTGTCTCCCTTTTTCCTGTTTCCTTTTTTCTTTTTTCTTTTTTTCCTTTTTTCTTTTTTTCTTTTTTTCTTTTTTTCTTTTTTTCTTTTTTCATTCTTTGTACCATCCGTAGCTGACGAATAATGGGAGACATGACCCCAGCCGGGCCGAATTGAACCCTCGCGCGACGGGGAAGTAAAAAAAGGTAGGAATAGTTCACTCTCGGTTACTGACGAATAAAGCGAACCTCTAGGGATAGGAGCCCGCCATACGCAGCGTTTTTTTCCTTTTTTCCTTTTTTCTTTCCTTCTTTTCTTTTTTCTTTTTTCTTTTTTCTTTTTTCTTTTTTTCTTGTTTCCTCTTTTACTGGACCATAGGATAAGCGTGCGTAGATGGATGGATAGGCGTGATAGCTTGCATCAGAAGGCTGTAGTATAGGAACCCGCGCCGCGACTATATCAGAACAAAGCGCAGGGGTACTATTCATCAGAACACCGTGCCTTCGGAATTCGACCAGCGGGCAAGCCGTTCTTTCCGCAATTGTGTAGGAGGACGAGATCGACGGGCCACATGGACTTCTTTGCGGACTGGGACCTGGACGAGGAACGGAGGAATGAGGAGGAAGTGGTAACGTCACTGGACGACGGCACCTTCCCGGATCTGTGACCATACCCCTGGGCCTGGGCAGTTCGAACCTAGCATCATGCAGGCGGACTCTACCTGCCCCGCCGAACCAGTCCTGGCCGGCCTGGCCCTCGCACCAGCTCGCAGCGTCGCTTCCCTGCTTCTTCTCCTCCTTGCCCTGCTTCCCAATCTTGCCATAGCTTGCGCGCTGGTGGTTGCCTGCCTATCGGAGGGCGTGTTTCTTCGACTTTCGACGAGGCGCTTCGCATGCTTGCTTGGCTGCACCATTTGCTTTGCGACCATCTTCCTCGCCTGCTGCTGCTGC